AATCCTATCATGTGAGTTGCCGATTGGTTTTCCAGTCCTCACGCTCAATATCTGCTGTTAATTTGCTTGCTATTTCAAGAACTTGAAGACTGTCAGCAAAATCCATGATGCATTACAAAACTTATAATTGAAAAGAAAAAAACAACATCTGATGCTTCTCTGACAGGATAAACACGAAGTCTGAAAACACTGATCAGAAGAAGGGAGATGTACTAGCTTAAGAGCTATTTGTATTAAAATACAATTGCAAATGAAGCAGCGAAAGAAACAGAGTTACAGAAATAAGTTCAAACCTATGCAGAACCATTTGATGAAACCCCCAAATTTTTCACTGGGCTAAAAAGAGAAGAAAAAAACTGCACAAAACATTATTTTTAAAAGAGATGACTGAACCTGTCTATACTTTCTAAAGGCTGCATTATCTATGCCAATTAAAATTTTGCTTCTGAAAAAGAGTTAAGGCACTTCCTCTAGAGTTACTAAAAAAAGCAAATGAAAGCCTTGGCTTCGCAGAGGTGAGCGACAGTGAGCCGTTTGTTCTTGACCTCTGGATCACCCTACAGATCAGATTCTTGGACATAAGAAAAACCCACTAGTATTCATTAAAAGCAACTGGGAGGCCAGCTTTGTGCTTCTGTTCTTGAGACCTGAACAAGCTACAACTTGACAAATGTGCAGGATATTGCTGAACAATACTGCTGTTCCTGTCAGAAGGGAAGAGCTTTATTCCCGGCTTCATTCAGGATGAATTGATTTTCATCACAATGATGCAAATCGCAGATTTCAGTCATTATTTAAATAATCAATTTTAATCTTTTACGTTTGTGCTTTTCAGTTATTTCCCTAAAGTTCATTCCGTTAACCATTAAAGTGCATTGATTTATATCGAATTAGCTTTTATATTAAATGTTTTCTTCCCTCAAGAAGAGTCATCTATCTAAACAAATACATATGCTGAAAGTCTTGGGTCTTCAGTTTTACTTTTCTGCTAGATATGGGTGGAATTTGCCCATGTATTTTAATAGCTAAGAATAATGTAAATGATTGCTTTATTAGATTATTTTATACTTATGACTTGGGACGTTTTTTGTGGAATTTTTATGGAGAACAGAATTTAAAATCCATAAATAAGCCTATTGCCTCGTTATTCATGAAATTAACTACCATAAATTTCTACGCACACAAAATAAAGTTTATCAGAACACTTTTTCATTTCAACTGTTTTTGTCTTTCGAACAAACCAGAAAAGCTACCTGTAAAGCTGAACAGCAGAACTAAATAAAACAGAGAAATATATTCTCCCTGAACAATTGTTTCTGTCAAAACGTGGTTTAAACAAATTCTGGCTCCAGTTAACTGCAGTTCTCTGGTGGTTTGAACGCTTTTAAAGCTTCATTAGAAAACAGACATTGCCAGAATACTTGTATTCAAACATCTACAACATTATAGTAAATTCAGACCTTAGCATGGATGAACAATTTCAAACATAATTTAAAAAACACACGTATTTTAAAATAACAATATTTGAATTTAAATAAAACTTATATATATTCACTTATACATATTCAGCACCCGAAGCTGCAGTAAAAACAGACTGTCCTTACGGCTTTTACAGATACATCAGTATGAGTTATGCTTATATACACTTCACAAAGGGACTTCTATGATTCAAAAATTCATATATCCATTACTGTTTGTATTTTTTGTATTGTTCAATAAGTAGCCTCAACCTCAAATTTCCAAAGGAGAAAATGTTTCCATTAGAATCTTTAAGAGTTTTGACTGCGTAAAGTATAAACTATCAATTATTTTTCCACCAAACAAGCCAGGTTCATAGGGCAAAGTCAGAAGGAAGAGAAAGGAGGGAAATGTTTTTGTGGATTGTTATCTATAGACCAAATGGAAAATCTTCAGCCATTTTGCTCCTTCAAGATACATCAAAGAACCTCCTATTTCAGGTGTGAAAATGTCAGTTACATTCCCCACCTCTGAAAACAAGCAGAGCTCTGAGCGTGATTCATGTCCACCCTTGCTCTTTTCTCTTTTAGGGGCTGATACTCTGTTTTCAACTCCCCTCCAGCTAATGCCATTTAATACTCTCAGAACCATCAGGCTAAATTCAAATTTTCTGCTCCTTAGAGGCTGTTGATATGCACCACCGCACATTCCAATTGCAAATACACATGAATGCTCCCGTGTATTATAAGTTATTTTCTACATACAAATTCTACTAAATTGTAAGTTAGGAGGCACTACTTGAATTCTCTTAGGTCTTTAGAAAGCTTTCAGATGTACCATGAGTAATAACACGTAATGAATATGGACTGATATTTCTTTTCTGTAGTTAAACTGAGTTGGCAATTTACATTTTCTAAATAGATAGATGACTTATAGCCAGTTTTCCCAGTCTTCTGGCAATTACTTCTTAGAAACTCCTGACAGGCTGAAACCTCCGGAATCACAGCTGTTATTCTTGGTTTGATCCCTCTTTTTAAATTAAAACCAGTAGCTTTATCAGCAAATGAGAATTTTTTCCCTCTGGAAATACTTACAAAAATGCACATAAATTGAACATGCCAACTTATCTCATTTTAGGGTTGGAGCATCTTCTGGGTTAATGACCAGTGTTCCACTTCTGTGACAGAACTAATTGGGGTAAGGAGGCCATAAATACATACAAAACCCCCACAAATTCTCTTCCTTTGGGGTAATCTGAAGATTTATAGTAGTAGAGTGAGATGTGATTGGAGGGGAAGGAGAAAAAAAATTAAGAAGTGCTAACAGGCTTGTCTGATTATTCTGTCTCAGTTTCCAGGCACAGAACAGATTTGCAACAGATTTTTCTGATGCGACTTTTCCTTCCTCTCAAAGACCAACTAAAATGGAGGAAACTAGCTGAATTTTCACATTTTCCAGGAACTATCATCATTTAAAAAAAAAAAAAAAAAGAGAGAGAGAGAGAGAGAAAAAGAAGACTCTCTCTTCCACACACGGGGTAGCTGATCTAAAAAGCTGTATTCAAAATGATAGCCTCAACTCCCCAACAACAGTTGCTCAAAACTTGCTTTGACAACAGTTTTTCACAGCTGAACACAAATGAAACATCTTTCAAGAGAGAGGAGAAGTCTGCACATAGTTGGAGCTCAGTGTGCCTTTCTAGCAATCTAGCTTTATTTCCCATTGATCACTAATGGGAAAAATCCAGTTATCAGTGGATTATAGGGAAGAATAATTAACATTTGTCTTCCATGACTAGGTCAGAATATATATGCCATTCATTTGTTATGGTTAAAACAACTCAGTTCTTTGATGTGGCGTCCCTTAATGTTTCAGAACAAACATTCTAAATCCATGTGTATACCTGCAAAATGAAACAACTTCTAAATGCAGCCAGAAACAAAAGGGTAGCAGATTGCCATTACGGATTTGGGAAGCAAAAGAAGGAAAAAAAAAAGATCAGTACATTTTGCCAGTACATATAAATGTAAATGTAAAGGCATAGCACATGGTTCTCCATTTCAGAACACCAAGCTCTCTCTTCCCCAAACATACTTTTCCCCAGACTTGGATTCTACGTTCTCCTCCAGATCCCTCCAGCAGCTCTGTAGCAAGCAGAGTTCAGGTAAAGTCTCAAATTCACCGCACACTACCCACACTGCCCTGTCTTCTTCTCTGTGTTATATCCTGCTATACTAAAAAAATCACTTTGAAATGTCTTTAAGAGATGATTCCTAACCTGAATTAAGATCATCTTTCCCAATTAGCTGATACTGCAGGATTTAGAGGGGTTTTTGGGGTTTTTTTTGTTTTTTTAGCTAAGCAATGTCAGGCTGATTTTAACTACTAGCTAAAGGCTATGACTTTTAAATTAAAAAAAAATTAATACCTTAAGTCAAGAATGTGAGATACAGAGCTAAATCACCATTATCTAGCCAGCACTAATGTACATATAAAAAAAAAAGCATTGTCAGAAGCATCAGTGTGTGTGGTGTTGTATGAATCACCAAGGCCTATGGGCCAAGCGAACAGTCAATAGAGATAAGACGAAGGGGAAAATTTCTAATGTCTGTATAGGTTTGCCCCATTCTTTGGTTCAGTCCCTGCCATTCCCCCCCTTCCTCTCCTACTTTCACCTTTAAAGCAAGCCTGACATCAAAAATATAAGTTATAAGCTTATAATAAACCCTTCTTATAGGTGTGCATAAATTAGCATCTAAGTACTTCAGCTGACAATTGAGAATGCCAAATAGCATAATGATTATCACCATCACTGAAGTTCAGGTTCCTGGTACAGCCTCAAAGAACTGTGGCTGTTGTTAGCATGAGGATTTAAAACAAGCGCTACCCAAGACTCCACAGAGGGGTATCAGGCATCACAATTAAACAACATGTAGAAAAACCAAGGAAAAGTCTCCTTAATAGAAAACTAGACAAGCAATTTTTCCTGCATATGCTCAGCACAGGGGTGGAATCACATCAAAACTGGCTTGAAATTTCATTATCACAACTTTACAAGCAAAAGGAAACAGTGCCTAGAACCGATCAGAAATAATACTTAAAGCACGTGCTGCCTTGAACCTTGTGCTGTGTAGGTGTTAAAAACTACCGTACTAATCTATTAGCATAGCAGACATAAATACCTAAACAGCATACAATATAATGGAGCTTCCTTCCCTAATACATACTAAGATACCACTGCAGTTAATCCACAAGCACAGAGTGGATATTGAGTCCACAATTTTTTAAGTGCATTCAGCAGGCAGAACAGAAATAATTACAATTCTTTTTCTCTTATTTCATACACATGGCTAAATATAGCCTATTTATCCACAAAAAAATGTGGCAATTGTTTCAGAGTCGTTTACAGCTAAGTTCGATACTGTTCTGTGGGGCAATGCAACAAAGCAGCTTCATACATTTTCAG